CTTTTGGGGCTCTACTGCATCTAGATTTTTTTCTTAACTCCGAAATATCTACAAAGCCTTAGGATTGCTCTTTTAAAGGCTCCCTTTGGTGAAATGGAGGGTGCAGTTTTCTGACCTTGACAACTTTCTCTTCTATTTCTGTTGCTATATCAAAGAGAGAGCTTATCTCTAAGTTTCATTACAAATGTTGCAGGAAAGTGGTTTGCAGTACTTACAGTGGACTCTACTGCATGGAGTAGGTATGAAGAAATAAAAAAATCCTGGGAAAGATCATACCTAGTCCCTCTTGAAAGCTTTGCACCGAATTCTTTGAAACTACATAATGCTGGCCAGCTACTGTACAACCAATATTACTGATATCATAAATTTGAATAAAGGTGAAATATTTCAGGTGAATACAAGCCTTTTCATAGCATGATAATGTAACACGAACATGTTGCAATGAAGAAGCAAACATTTCTGTGTGTTGTACTTTAACCCCAGCAGGCATCTAAGTACTACACAGCCACTGTCACTCTCCCCATGTGGGATGGGAGAGAGAATAGGAAAGGTAAAAGTGTGAGAACTCATGGGATGAGATAAAGACAATTTACTAGGTAAAGCAGGAGCTGTGCATACAAGCAAAGCAAGCCAGGAAATCAATTTGCTACACTACTAGGTGGTCAGCCACTTCCAGGACATCAGGGCTCATCAGACCTAATGGTTTTGTGGGAAGACAAACTCCATTACTCTGAACATCTTCCCTTTCCTCCTTCTTTACCCCAGCTTTTATTGCTTAGCATGATGCCACATGGTTTGGGACATCCCTTTGGCCAGTTTGGATCAGTTGTCCTGTCTGAGTCCCCTCCCAGCTCCTTTTGCACCACCAGCCTCCTCACTGGCAGGGCAGCACAAGTAGCAGAAAAGTCCTTGACTGTGCAATCACTGCTCTGCAACAAACAAAAAACACCAGTGTGTTATCACCAGCACCCTCAACAAAAATCCAAAACACAGCATCCCACAAGCCTCTATGAAGAAAATTAATTTTGTTCCAGCCAAAACCATGACACTGCATCTGCTAGTGGCATGATAGTCTTAGGTACAATAAACGTTTAAATTACGATGGGATACCTGGAAACGGCTGCATTGCAGACTGTTCTTTTCTTTTACTCAGTAGTGTAATGTTTGATGCTTCCTAAATTAGGCTAGAGCTGTTTCCTCTTTAGTCTGGGGTTCATATGGCTGCCTAAGTTGTTTACCTCCGAACCAGTCCTAATACATTTGTAGAGTAGCTACATTAATGACAGAAAAATAATGTTCCAGTATGATCTTATATTTCCCAAAATAATGCAGCAGAGTATGTTTCCAAAGACTAGGGCATAGACCGTGCAAAAACTCTGAGGTGTTTTAAATAGCACTCAGATACACTTAAAGTATTTATCACAACCTGAGTGGTATAGCATGATAATTCTTTAAGATGCAGCTTTAGGGATGTAATAAATTACACATTGCAGCTAATACACAGTTAAACATTGTATCCAACATAGTCTTGTGGTTCTTGTAGCCCAGGAAGATCTTTTCTCTGTGATGAATAGAGATATTTCTGAAAAGTAGTTGTTCAGTTAGCTCAAGATTAACACAAACTAAATATTTTTGAAAATGAGACTGAAGTATTTATACTGAATTTCAGTTACAAAAGGGGTTGTAGAGAGACATGTATCAATGAAAGGAGACAGTACAGCAGAAGGAGATAAAACTGAACACTTGTAAATGAACATGCTTGAAAAAGTAAACGCTTATATACATTGAATATTTCTGCTGTTTTTGCAATCAGCTGGGAGGGGGAAAGAGAAATAAAGTAACCCAGAAAGAAAGTTGTCTTCTTTTTCCTTCAGTAAAAGTTTGTTCCTTGTGTTTAATTGTTTAGACCTTCCCTGATTTTTTTTTTTTTTTTTTGAGAGAAATAGTAAATGAAAATTGGTATAAAGAATGACAACTGACATTTATATTTAATCTTAGACTGGAAGTATGATTTCAAAGCTTCTCAGCAGTTATGTTTAATTTCTTTTGCTGGAGTGTATGACTGGCACATTTTTGAACCACTGCTTGTTTTGGATAGACTGCTTTTATTGCTGATTCCATTTGTGACCATGACCATCTCACTTAATTCTTCAGATTTCACTATGTCTATTAGAAAAATAAGTATTCTTGCTTAAATGTTTATATATTGAAATGTTGAATCATAAAAGCATGGATTAGTGACTAATTACTTATTAACTGTATTAAAATCTTCAGCCAGAAAATCCCCTTTACACAGAACAAATCCCCTGTACAAAGAACATATAAATCAAGAACATAATGTCACTTGTGCTTTTGGACAGGAATTTAGAAAGTATTCTCTTGCATAGAACCATAGAATGGTTTGGGTTTGAAGGGACCTTAAAGATGGTTTAATTCCAACCCCCCTGCCATAGGCAGGGACATGTATACTAGCAACTGAAAACCTGTTTTTCAGAAATGTTAGGTACCTCATCTTAAACATTTTTTAGAGTGTAATTTTGTTGACCTCTCTAAATCTCGTGGCTTGAATAATTTATAACATAGAGTGAATAGAATAGGTTACTTCTTAGTGAAAATGAATCTAGTAAATGAAATTTTCTTTCAGGTCTGGTATATATCCTTGCTCACTGGATTTTGAACTCTTCATCTGTTTATTTCTTTACATAAGTAAGATACATATATATATATATGTAAAATATATATATATATATTTTTTTGCAGTGGCTATCAACTGGAAAATTTCTGTTAAAGCTAAGAAGGAAAACAGAAGGAAACAATTATCACGTTCTAGCAAAATGAACAGAATTTTGAAACACATCATTTAGTCTACTGTGAAGTGTTTTATTTCTGGTCCCTTTTTTTTTCTTTTTTTTTTTTTTCTTTTTTTTTTTTTTTCTTTTTCTTTTTTTTCTTTTAAATAAACAACGACCATTCCAAATTTAGAAGTAGATTGTAATTGTAGAATATATATATTTTTTTCTTTCTGAATAGTGAAAAAAATATGTTGGTGTCTTCAGAACATCTCCAACATTTTTCCCAAAACCCGACCTGTTCCTGCAAACATCTTTGGCTTTAGTCAATCAGTTTTTAAGAGAGAAGCAAGTTATGGAAAAACTCTTGATATTTTTTTATTTTCAGTAGTATTTCATTAGTATTTATTTCACAGTTGTACTGTTTGTTAGATAAGCGAGAAATGAACTTCACAAACGTGTGTTAATTATAGTACGTTAAGATAAGCAACAGAAAGTTCTCATTTCCACTTTGGCTGATACCAAAATAACTTATCTTATGATATTTTGACACATCTCTTTAAAACCCTCTGCTAAATAAGGAAGATAAAAAATAAATGTGAAAAAACAGCAGAAGAATATAATTTTTAAAATGAGTCGAGAAGCTTTAAATTCATTATTCTAGCCAATGGTTATGATTAGTTGTTCAGTAGGATTGCATTGGTTCAATTACATTATGTCATACTCCATGACAATTGACTTACAGTACCATAGTGTCTATGATCTACCTGCAATAGATAATATAGGATACACACACTCACATATAAACCTCTTTAAAACAGAATAATATACAGTAAGAAGCTGATCTGCTTACACTTTGGATCAGAATTAGTTATTGTCTGCTCTTTCTGGTGGATGATCCAAATACATGTATCCATGTATAACATCGAACCTTTTGGACAGGGGGGAATTATGAAGTAAATATATATTGCAATGTGTTCTAGGATCCTGCTCCCCTCATCATCCTGGCATGTGTCCAGGATGGCTATACCACATTAGGCTGTTAAGGGTACCATGGTCAGGCTAATTTTCAAGGAAAGCAGTGATACAACAGAGAAGCAGAATGCAGCATAATTAGGTCTCATTCCAGCAGGAATCATGATATGACTGGAGAGCTCACTTGGACTTGCACATCTGAAGCATTCCCAGGTCAGTGACCTACAGAGGACAATATTCATAAGGACCATCTAGATCCTTAATGAAAATCTTAAATTACTTTTAAGGGAACCACTTGAAATTTGGGTCAAGAGGCAACACATATGTCCAAGCACAAAAGGAATGCAATAGGATTTCTTTTCTGCATTCATTTACGCCGTGAAATTGTTTTCTGCACTGCTGTGATATAGTTCCTTCCATTATTCTCTCAAAGGAATCATAGTCTCATATTTTTTCCCCTTTGGTGTATTTGGCTTCCTGCTTTAATCTAATTCTCACAGCTCAGGGGAATCATCAGACCAGGCTGAGATTTGTATCTTTTCGGAGAGCTCATCAATAGTTTACATAATGCTGTGGCAGGGCCAGGGTTCACACAGCTGGAGAGGTACTCGGCAAGAGTACTGAGTTAAGCAGAAAAAGCCTTCTTGAGAGTCTGAACTTTGTTTAAAGATTTTTTTTTTCTTTTTCCTCTTTTTTTTTTTTTTTTTTCTTCCTGAAAAAGAAGCCAAAACAACACAAAAGCAGTGTGTGCAGGTTTGTTGGCAGCTGGTGTGCTGTGACTGATGATGCTTATGTTAATTATGCTCTCACTATTACCATGTGATCCACCCATCTGGTTTTTGAAGCCAGCTGTTTTCCTTTATCTTGTTGAACTACCAGTTATTCAAGATAGTGACCATCTCTTTGTGGTGAGCAAGGAGTGAAGGTAGTGCAATAAAACTCTGATATAGGGGTTGCATTGTCAGATTCAACTAATCAGTCTAAAAAGCCAGGAAAACACAGGTTTAGTTATGTTATCTTTTCCAGCTTGAATGTCTTTAAATACTAATTAAGACTGGACCAAGAATGTGTTGAATATTTTAAATTGTCCAGTTTTGTACTTCCTGGAATTCAGAAAATGTTGTTGAAATTATGTTGTTGAAATGTTGACCATTTTCAGATGCTTAATAATGCAAGTTTTAATACAAACTGTTTGCCACACAATTCATACAAATGCATTTTATTCGATTGACTTACCTTGTTTTAGTTTGTGACTGGTTACTTAAGTCATGTAGTATTCTTGCTTCATGTAATATTCTTGGGCAACCCAGACTTTTTAGCCTAGAAAATAGTGGACATTAAGCACTGTCGTTTGAATGGAAATGGAACACTGGCATTCACATGAAGAGCAGCCATTCAGGTGGTTATGCATATGCAAAGAAAAAATCATGTTCGTGTAAAATGAAAAAGGGGCATTACCACAGCTAAAACTAAACTAAACTAAACTAAACTAAACTAAACTAAACTAAACAAACAACTAGTCAGAGCTAAAATGAGTTTCTGAATTGTTGCTCTGCCGTATTTGTCCAGTTCTTGACCATTCAGGCAGATATGTATATAAACACCCCAAATATAATAACATAAACAAAACTGTTCTTGTGATTCCGGAATTCCTCTTCTGGCCTTTAACCAGCAAATGTAATCTTGTTCTCTCCCTCGGAAGAACACACTCCCCCTCCACCCTGCCTCTGATGGTCTCATGTATTATTTTCCTGATCTTATAAAATATTTTCCTAAACAAGAAAAAATCCCAACCAACCCAAACCATCACCACCAAGAAAAATAGTTAACATGACTACTTAAATATATTACCCCTGTATAAAGAAAAGCCTATACAATATTTAGAATTATCTTACTACTTCCCCATGGAAATTAAAGTAATATTATTATTATTCAGATTGTGTTTAACTTTCCTTATTTCTCTGAACATTGAATTACTTTGCAGAGGCTACTTTTTCCTTAAACATTGTTTCATCAAATGGGTTAAAACAGAGTAGACTTTGAAGGGGATATTCCCAGTCTCTACTGGTGCATATTGGAGACTGTGAATTTCTGCAGGATAAACTTGGTTACACTGCACAAACCTTTAGTCCTTTCCTTTTATCATATATGGAAAGACCTGAGTGAAACTGAATTAACATATTAAGGCACATTGATATATTAGAATGTCAGAAACAGAAATTTGCAATTAACAATTTTGCATGTAGTTGAAGTACTAAAAACCTTGAACTTCCCTATTTTTCATGAAATTTTAAAGCAATATTCACAGATCTGACACAAATGTTTTAATTTTTAGATGAGTCAGTACTTTCTAGATCTTTTGAAGTAATCTTGAATAGCAAGATAGCTTCTTTAATTGGAAGCATCTTGTGTGTACATTTTTAATCAGAATTTTGGAAATACAGAATTTTTAAGCAATGAAAATCTAAACAATAAAAAGTAAGCTTTCAGAAATATTTGTAGTTTTGAACATGAATACTTTTTTTTTTTTGTCTGATTTTTTCTACACAATGATTTAATCTGTCTGAGTTACAGTATGTTTTCTAACACAAGGAAAACCTTATTATACCTTACATACTGTAGACTGGGTTTAAAACTAAGAAGGAAAATGTATTCAAAATTATCAATGAAAATATTCTCAAGGGAAAACTGGAGTCTCTTACTTGAAGATCTGACTCCTATTTCTCTATTTTGGAGGGATTTATGAATAGTGGTTCCTCTTATTAACATACATATGTTATACACTGTTATATATTATATATATATTATACATTATATAATTTATATAACATATACATTATAATACACATTATATATATATTTAAAATATGTATTATATGTTATTAACATACATTATGTTATACATAATATCAGCACGGCAGCTGAGATAAAACTGAAGATCATCCCTAGTCCTAGTCCTAATGAATCTAGCAGCAGGTCAGCAGTCCCTTGCACCTCAGATATAACTCTTAAACTTTACTTTGAATTTTTATGAACCTCAATTTTTCATAAATCAGACACTAAACAAGTGGAATACAAATTTTTCTTGTGATTCTACTTTTTCCCTTTAAAGCTCTGGCCTTTTGTTTATGAGAAAAGTCACTATGTGACATGTCAAGTTTTCTTGAATAAATAATCCAATCTTTGGAAGAGATTCCATCTGCTACTTCCTGTCTTCTTTTTCTCAGTAGCGTGTAAACTTGATTCCATTTTAAGTCTTCCTGGATACAAATATTACTTTGAAGAGACTGGTAACTGGACTGCTCTGTGTGCTTCTAACAGCTGAAGCAAAATGGATCCTTTAAACATGTATAAGAGCACTTAGCCTTCTTAGAATATACTTGGGAGCATGCAAGGTGAAGTAGCACTCTGGTGACATCATTGTCAGGTCATCCTGCAAGAATAACGAAATCATATATAGAGGTGTGCCCTGAGGCATACTCTGTTGCCATAATTAGGTTGAAGGCTCCCTTAGATATGATGTCTTATTGCAAGAGCATTTGCAGGAACTAATTGTGGTATGTTTTTGCATCAGTATTGGTGTTCTGCATCATTTATGGTCTGAAAATAGCTGTAATTGTGTGCAATGATTGAGTCATTTCCTGAATTTAGTATCCTAACCAGAGTACGAATTAAATGACTAACACACTCTTGACTTTGTCATTTTTTTCTCTCTGGCTGCTTACTTAAAGAAAAAAAAAACAACAAACAAACAAACAACAAAACAAAACAAAACAAACAAAAACACTCTCTGTGTTTTTGCATTTTTAAAGCCAAATTAGATTTGGTGTATTTTAATGCTGCTGAGAGTGACAGGTTAGTAATAATCGTTGTTCACAGACAGAGAACATGCAGGTGTTGTGAGATCTTCCTACCCTCTTGCAGCTCTCCCAGTGCATTTCCGATCAGTATTACCTCTTTTGTGCCACAGACTGCAAGTTTATTCTGAACACTAGGTGCAGAGAATTTTTAAAATGGAGAAATGGTCAGTACAGGACAAGGCTGAGGGCATCATTCCTGTTTCATTTGCAGTTCAAGTTAGAAACAAATACACTCTCCTGGTGTACTTCCACTCTGGCACTGTACCAGCCTGCATCTCAGGAGACCACAGCACCATTTCCTCTGAATTTTTGCCTGTGTTCCTCTTCTACTTGTAGGGGCACTTTCTCTTAATTGTGGAGCTGCACTTTTGTCTTTTTAACTGACTGATCTTCCAGAAAGGGTGATATGACCGTTATTTGCAGTCTTGTGAAAACAAAATAAACAACTGGCACTGGTTTTTAAAATTGTGCTAAAGATCTAGAATCCTGCTGCCACTCAGAGGGTGCAGCATATTAATTTTGAATCATCAATATTTTTGGTGCCATCATTATCACATGCACACACACACACACACACATACACAAAAGCAACCTACACTACTTGCATTCATATCAAACCCTTTTATTTAATTTATTTGGACTGTTTTTCTATCCTGTACCAGTTAATCGCTAGCCCTATTTCAACTCAGAATCTGAATGTTATTTACCATCTGTCTCCAAGGGATGCACTTGCCAAGTCCCTTAATTTGCTATAATTGGCAGGTTTTCAGTGTACATAATTTATATTAAAAAAAAAAAAGCCACAATACTGAAAAAAAGAAGATTAATTAAACCGTTTCTTCTGGGCCCCTAGAAGTGTTCCAAAAGGATGGCTTTAGGGCCACAAGGTCTGCTCTGTGTATGTGCTGTCACAGCTGATCACATTAAAAATGTATGTTGGTGTTGGTCCCTTGTGCCTCTACACTGGTCAGAAGGATGTCACTAGCACCTGGGTAACATCACATACAAACAGTGAATTAAATATCTTGCATTTGCATTTGTGCCTTTTGTTCACACACTAGAAGCTCCTAGGCTGCAGTATAATTTATGGATACCTCCACGTAGGCAATTCTGTAGCTGATATGATAGGAAATGTTATGGAAAAAAACCCCAAACCCTAAGCAGATGTACAGAATACTAAATAGACCTACTGAAAGACTGCAAATTGACTGAAAGACATCACGCATGTGGTTTGTAAACATGATTTATACCTTCCTTTCTCTTAGCTTCTTGCTCCTGACAGCACCTTGTTAATGAGTGCATAGTGCAGTGATGTAATGCCCTGTGAAGGCAACTGTCAGTCTAGGGGACATCAGCCTGATTTACCCATGATCCTGAGTTACCCATGCCCCTGAATACAAAGTCTCTTCTGTTGCAGTTCTCCTACTGTCCTTTCAAGTGACAGAGAAAGAGAACAAGATGGTAGAGAAGAGGATTGGTATGATTCTTTGTATTTGGCCTGGAAAGGGGAGGAAAGTAAAGAAAGAACATGCATATTCACTTTCTCCTTTTGCCAGATCTAAGATGATATCTAAGTGATATGCAAGACCCTCACCAGCCTCAAAATTTGCTGTCGTGTGACCATACAACCTTCATGTGTGTTTCAGTCATTGTGTATATATTTATGTAAGCAATCCAAGAAAAGTGGTATTAACAGAGCAGTGTGAAAAACAGAGCAATGTGAAAAACAAACTGGCTAAGTCTGTTTCTGTCCTGTTCCATTACAATTTGGCATATTCCATGTCAGACCTAGTTGAAACATGCTTTTATTCTTGGGTTGCTCATTTTCCAGCGTCTGGAGAGGCTCCATTTTCAAAATCAAGCAGTAATGTTTGTTGCAACCAGCTCTCCTGAGGTACAATGAAAATGTAGGTGAAGTTGAGAGGAACTTCTAGTTCTTTTCAGATTTCATGAAATTTCAGTCTTCTCTGTTAAAGAAAACAACTTCTCTAGTGTCATGAGATGTTTATTTCATATAGTATTTCAAAAGGAAAAAGTCAGATTCTGGAAGTGGACATAACCTATTCTAATATTAATGTTTTAGGAAGTCATTCTGGTGGAAACAGACAATCGTGAATTGTCTCAAAGAGAAGAGACAGTTGTTGGAAAGTTCACTGGATTAGCTAAATTCCAGCTCTTTGAAATCCCCTGTTTAGATTAGAGAAAAAACACATTCTAGATTTTATTCCCCAGTGAAATTCTAGAAAATTCCCTTCCAGGGCTAATTTCTGTGGAAATGAAACATTTTCTAGAAAAATACTCAGATGAACACAGCAGTGGACATGATATAAAAATCTAGGTGCATTGGAAGAGACAGAAAAATACTGTGAAATGCTGTGAAACATGACAAACCTGAAGAAATTCATAGCCTAAACTGCTTCTGTCAGAACTGGGAGAATGAATCTTGCTGAGACTGGCAGAAAAATTCAGACAGGTATCACACCATGGAACAGCAAAGATCTTGGGAAGTTAGCAAAAACAGAGGGATCATAAGTTTTCCAGACCTAAGGTCTGCTGTGACTTAACTTAGTAAGATTTTTGTGATGCTATGGAGTTTTACCATTCCCTTAGCTGAAAAGGTTCACTTAGCACAATCTTTGTCATGTTAAAGTCTGGGAAGTAACATGGGCTATGACTGAGTTTCTCTGTTCTGCTGGAAAAGGGACTAGTTACTCAAGTGCTCTAGGATATTCTACACTCTACTGCTGCTCTTCTGCAACTGAAACACACTATTTCAGAGCCAAGTTCATTAATAATTAACCTGTATCAGGGATGTCATGCTTATTCCAAAGAATATTTTATGCATGGATTAGGGTGTATATTGCCTGTCCAATTCTTAATGTAAAATTGAAAACTTGAACAAAAAAAATTGAACAGTGCCTTCAAGCATTTGTACAAGATTTGGATGACTGAATGACTAAATGGATACATTAAATATACAGTGTAAGGGACATATTCCTTTTGCCTATTTGTGGACTAATTACAACAGGAGTTAATGAATATCTTTGTACAATATTGAAGTCACAAAGAAGTATGTCCAGAAAAGAAGGTAAAGCTTCACAAAATGGGCATATGAAATCACAAATTATCATCGACTTTTTTTTTCTACATGTTCTATGTAACTTTCTACATTATTATAGATCATTTATTAAGGCAAAGTGCTTAAAATAGTGATGTCATGACAATCTTATTCTTTTTTTTTTTTTTTTTCCTTTTCTTGCCTGTTCCTTTTAGTGGTTTCAATTATTGCAAATTCATTATAAGCTAATTTGTTGATGCAAGGACATGGTACTGAAGGATATTAGAAAAAGTTCCAACTAACTTTCCCATGATTTTTCATAGAATCATAGAATCATTCAGGCTGGAAAAGACTTCTAAGGTCATCTAGTCCGACCTTTGTTCTAGTATTGAAGTCTATGACTAAACCATGCTTCTAAGTTCTACATCTACACATTTTGTAAGCAAGATGCACAAAATTTGTTTTGCTTTAGGTGATTGATCTGTGTGTCTGAATCATTGACTGCTCAGAGGATTTTGACAGTTATGACAGAAGAGGACTACAGTTATTTTGCCCAAACTGCTGTGAGCATGAGTGAGACAGATGTCTATCTTTCATAAACTTTGCACCTTAGGACAAACTGTCCCATACATGGGACATTCATGATGGCAGTTCTAGATTAAGTATTCTTCCTGACTGATTACAAAGTCCATTTCACAGATCTGTAGTGAGACTGAAAGCACCTGAAGGCAGGACATTTCAAGGAATTTCATTCCAAGTCCTGGTACTTCTGTGTATGTATGCATGTACGTGCTTACCTACCTAATCACCTCAAGTTATTGTTGTCTTTTTTTTTTTTTTTTTTTTTAATGAACACCTACCTTCTCATTAACATTTTTATTTTTTTTTTATGTAGATTTTCTTAAGAACCTGGAAGTGTAAACTAATCCTGGACAGTGAATCAAAAGAACACAAGGTATATGTTTATATATGTTGTTTATGTTGTATGTTTTTGCAGTCAAATTTGCAGTCAAAAAACCCAAAAAGTTTTTGGGTAGATCTAAGAAATGATTTGGAGTTTTCTGGAATTAACAAAGTACAGATCTTAACAAAATATTTTTCATAACAGAGATTAAGCTTGATAAACATGCCTATTCCTTTCTTCCTTTATTTACATTTATTTTAAGCATAGAATTATCATCTCATTGTCGTCAGGAGGACTTTAAACTTTTTGAGGTGCCCACATCTCATTTAAATATCAATGCTAACCTTCTGGAATAAGATATGAAAATCTGGCTTATAGAGTTCTTTAAAACTTCAATCTTTCCTGAATTTCTATAAGGAAAACTGACTTATCTGGGAAATCTGTCTTTTGACGTAGGGATGGTGACATTTGTGCACAAGTCAATCCAAGGTTAAGATTTCAGTACTTGGTGTTTTCAGGGCAGTGGCTGTCCTTTAACCCCGGAAGATTTGTCCTTTGCACTATGGTGCCTTTATTTTGTTACTTGATTCATGCAGCTCTCAGTGGCTATTCCAAAGAATGGCTGCAAGGTCATGGGAGTCTCTGCTGATTCAGGAAAGACACGTTTCATTGCAAAAGGCTGCTTTTATTTTGTTTTTGTTTTCCAGCATGTACGCTTGGAATGCTGTTGTGGTTGTTTCAATGTTTACAAGATATTTCCTTCAGTGATAGTTTCATCTCTGCCAAAAGAAAAGTTAAAAAAAAAAAAAAAACAAAAAACATTAATGAGCTGACAGTGCTTTTAATACTGCTTCAAAAGGAGAGGGAAAGCTCGTGTGCCAAACAAATGTTTGGAACAGTCTCAGACAGCAACATTTGTTCTGCAAGGGAATTATCCACAATAGGACACTTCAGCTGCTAAACATCTAAAAGTATTTAGATGATGCAGTGCTCAGATGGTCAGCCTGTTTCCAAGAGAAGTAGCATTTTTGTTAACGTGGCAAAAGACTGTACTCTACCTAATGTAATCAGAGGGGAAGTCTCCCATCTAAAGGTTTAGGAGTCCCTGCAGGAAAAATTTACAGAGCTTTAGGCAGAAGTGTGAATGTGGGAGTAGTACACATCTTGGCTTATCAAGAAGAGGGATGCTCTTGACAGCATAGAGGCACATTCTTGATGTTTGTCAAACTTTCTGACACATTTTTACCCATTTTGAGACAGTGACAAAAATGTTGAAAACATTTCTGTAAAATGTTAATCTCATTTTCTGACCAGAACCTTATGAGAAAATGACAGCAAAAATTGAAAGGTAGGATTTCTTGCTTTCACAGATGCTATGATTTCTGAACTTATTCCCAAAAGAATAAGTATGAACTAGGAGATAACAAACACACCTCACTAGAAAGCTTCTAATCAGAAATGCATCTAAGCCTTTGTCATCTTATAATTATTGCTCTTCTTCTTCAAGTAATTTCCACCAAAAATGGAACTGTTCATTCTGTTTTGAAGATGATTCAAGCGTATATTTGTTCTTTTCTAGTTTTCACAAGCTTGGGCTGGCAGTAAAGCAATGTAGTTCCTCCATTTGAAGACCTGAAGTCTTGGAGTTGCAGGCTGCATTGTTTTTGCTCATGTACTCTGAGCAAAGGTTTACCTTTTAAATAATATGACTTTCTGTTGCAGAAGGCCTTAGCAATGAGAACCAACGACTTTCAATTACCTTGACACTTCCAACAAGTTCAGGTAACTGTTTACACAGAGCATGTTTTCAAGGGAATTAATCTGCAAGTTTCAGTGAAGCTGCTTGTACCTTTCCGCCTTGGAAAAGCATAAGAATATATTCCTGTGTGCTCAGGACAGCTTTGCTATTCCATCAGGACAACAAATGTGTATGTCCTTACAGATATTAAGGTAAATTGTGTTCAATTTACCCCACAAATCATCCTTTGGACTCAAATCTCAGTTAGTGTTAATTGATGTAGCTCTGAATTTAATTAAACTTTGGAAGCCCTCACTGCCGGAGAATCTGTCCTGTAGATTGCTTTTGGAAAAAAAGCTTATATTCAGCTTGATCTATTTGTGATAGCAATTTATGCTTTAACTGAAGGTAAATTATGGCTATTTGGTGATTAATATCCCATTCTCATGCCAAGTCAAGTTAAGAAGTACTTACTTAATTTATCACTAACCAGTGGTTACTATCTAACTGTAATTACAAGAAAACATACATAGCTTCGACCTCTGAGCAATCATGTGGGAAGACCATCCCTTAAAGTTTGCCTTGTATTTTCTATATAGATAGCACTTTCTTCTCTGAGGAGAACTTTGCAAATCCTTTGCAAAAGAGAGAATGTCAGGGAAGGGGAGGCTACAGTTTGCAGGGTAGTTTTTGAGAATGAAGCTGAAGAAAGGCATATGCTGAAGGACTGAAGGCAGAAGATATATATATATATTTGTATATATATATATATATTCTGGACAAACAGATCAGTCAGTAACTTAAGCATTATTACAGTACAGAGAAATGTGTGGTGATGGTAGTGGTAGGTAAACTGCTGTCAAGCAAGGTGCAGGTGGGTCAATCATAAATATATCCCACAAACCCTAAAGGGAAAAGGCTCTGGATGCCATCATTAGCTTTGCCTCTTTTAGAAAAGATGAGGAGTTGGGCTGCTTTGAACCTTTTGTGGTCTTCTACTCTGAGCACTGGTTGCAATGGCGTGATTCACCTCTGCATTGGAAGAAGCTTTTCTGCCACTCATCCTTAGTACTTTCTAAGGTGATGCAGTGAGAACCTTATTGTGCTATTGTGCATCACTGTGTTTTAAGAGCCATTAAGATGAAAAGTAATGTCTGCTCAGGTGTACTCTTTTTTTTTTTTTTTTTTTTTTTTTTGGGTATGTGTGTGTATGTGTTTATGTGTGTTAAGTTCTTGGTGGCTCCACCAAGAAAACAAAACTGCTTGCTTTAGCTCAGAAAGGGAGCAGAGAGGTGAGATTCCCTGTGATTTGGTCTGTGCCTGTCAATTTCCAAAGGCAGGAAAATTATCATTTTTTCAAATTCCCTCAGGCAGCAGTAGCCAAGCCAAGTTGGCTCTAGCCAGCTCTTGTTTGTAAAATGTAATTCTGTGGTAATGAGCTGGTGACAACTTGAAGAAGAGAGTCTAAACATCCTGAAAACAGTTCCAAACATGACTAAATGCAAGAAGGAAACTTCTAATAACTGCCTCATGGGAATCAAGAACCCTACATACAAATACAAACACAATTTATTTCTAGACAGTAATATATATATTATGATCTTTTTCCTTTATTTTTCTCCCTGAATGTATGTGTAGGTAGGTGTATGTCTCTATACCTACTATCTGTACAACTTGTCTCTCCAAATGACCTCTATTTCAGAAGGAAGCTAGTAGTTTTGTCATTGTGGGAAAGAGCAGAAACTGAAGTGAACACCTGATGTAGCCACAGAATTAAAGCTTTGTGTATAATCATGTATCTACCTAGAGATTTTTATGCTACATTGTTTTGAGAGTTACCTTTGATTTTCCAATCATAAAAAAAATACTTCTCCCTATTTGAAGTGTTTTAAAGTTGTATTGTCAAACCAAAGCATTCAAAATCATGAGTTAGACTCCAAAACTTATGCAATGGCCTCAAAAATCTTGAGGTTTCAAGAATGACACATTTTGACCTCTTTTTGCCATCCTGATGGATGCTGCTGTGTTTTTGAATGAATTGTTTTCATACTTTTCTCTGTTGCCATGAGGACTTAAAAACTGATTAAATAACAACAAACCATCAAATAATCACACAATTCCAGAAAGGAGGGTTGTAGAGGAAAAAACAAAAAGAAAAACCAAACCAAACCAACCAACCAACCAAACAAAAAACAAACAAACAAACAAACAAAAAAACAAAAAAACCCTCAGAATTTATGACACTTACCTTAGGCAATGATACAGTAAAAATAACATCAAAAGTATGTCAACTAATACATAAGAATGTTGCAATATTTATTTTAATAAATGATGAAGTAATCAATATATTACACATAAAGAAGAACCGAGACAGTTGTCTCTGAGTTAATCCACTGTATTCCAAAGTTGTACTGAATCTGTGAGGCATCTTCCTGGTCTTCTGATGTTTTTTTCCCTACCCTTTTGTGGTCTGCCAACCTAAGCTGGTGTAAGTTTCTTGTATTCCTGATATGTTAAGCTAAAACACCTAAAAGCCCATTAATTTTATTTTATTCTAATACACTACAAAAAGAAGTAGCGGTGATACCGAGGACACCATAGTCTATACAGTTTCTTAGGATGTGAATACTAATTTTTGGACCTCAGGATCACAGCATACTACACACAGACCAGTTCCATGTTCCAAACCTCTCAACCACTTGCAGAAAGTGCAGTCGTTGCCAACCCCCCTTCTTATCTTACCTCGTGAACAGTGAAAACATGTATACAGAAACCAAAGAATTTGGCCAGAAAAATTTTGAACCAGTGCTAGACTCCAGAGACAGTTTGCCAGGGAATCACTGTTTGTGTGAGAGTGGAACTGTTTGCATTAATCACCTTGCATAACTAAGAGCAGGTCAGCTTGCCAAGGGTTGAATCCTAAGTGTTACCTGGTCATGGATAAACAGGGTGCTAACACTCAAATCCTCCTATTCCAGTGATAATGACAAGCACTGATTATAGTGGAAAACTGAGACTCATTCCAGGCATTCAAATAGCATGTTATTAATGATCACATTTTAAGGAAGTTCTTGCATAAAATAATTACTTGTAGAACACATGACGACTCATTAAACATAAATTCAGGCTTCATTCTGCTTTGTATAACTTGCCTAGCGCTTATGTTTAATATTTAGGAGTTCTTCCAGAGTAATGGGAACTGGGGGGGAGGGATGCATATTTCAGAGTACACTGGCAACCTATTTCATTTACCATAAACATTTTTTTTTTCCCCATGAGAATTGTTAGATGAATCTGATAACTGTATCGTAACCGTGGGCACAAAACTGGATTTCTAGCATGGTAATTACTTTTGGGGTGGTTTGCAGCAGGAGATAATATAATGTTGTACATAGCTATTCTGTGTCTTTAACTTTCACACTACCTTCTCAACAAATATAGTCTTGAAAACTTTTTATGGAATCTGGCAGAGCAGAAGTATAGCTGGAAGTTTTGAAACTTAAGAAAAAAACAAAAGCAACAAATAAATCTTGGGAAAATCAAAAGTCAGTTGCAAGATTTTTTTGTAGCAGAAACAGAATTGGCCTTTGTAGATATTGTAATAGTAAAAGCAATAATAATTCCAAGTGTTTAATGATCTGGCATCCCAGTCCTATCATCTTCTCCATGGTAGTTAACAATAAACTCATTAAGATCTTCCCCTCAACGTTCTGAAATTACCACTTAGTAACAAGAGTGATATTATTTCTTACAACATTGTTTTACAAACCTGTTTAAATTCCAAATACTGATGCCCACTGCATTTGTAAGCACATGGATTAAGAAGAGCTTTACCAGGCTGTGTGAATGTGTTTTGCTTTGTTTTGTTTCAACAAGGGACTCTGCAAGATTGATATAAGAAATTGTCACTTGTTTGACTGGAGAGATGAAGTATAAATACTTCCTGAACATGAATGCAAGTGTTCAGCATAGTGGCACTCCAAAACCTGCTGACTGGTTTATAGTTTACAATTCAGTATAACAGTAGGTGCTTATCCTCACATTACTGCCTTTTATTCGGGAGATATGAAACCTTTATACTAGTTGGTTAAATGAGCCTCACAGATTCAGTATGAATGCACATCATGCAGCAAAGTTAGAGGGAGTTGCTTGGGGTGAGTAAATGAGTCAGCAGCAGGGCTGAAAACACTCAAGCAGCCCTTGGAGGTAATCGTTCTTGTCCATTTGGTCACCAAACTGTAGTAAGTGCTTGCTTAAGTGCTTGACTGCTGTTGAACCTTGAGCTTTTGAGGACATCAGGGTAGCAGATAAATGCTGAGCAGTCTGAGTACAGGCACCCATTTCTTAGTGGAAGGTAATTTGCAGCCAAAGGGTTAACAGTACCTGCTAGAGGACAGGCAGCAGTTGAATCTCATTGTCTCAGCCCTGGGCCTTTCTCTAAGGCATTTCAGGAAAAAAAGGCCAGGACTAGTTCAGAGGATCCAAAATGTTGAAACAGAAGTTTATTTTGCCAGTGTGGCAAAAATAACTGTATATCTATTTACATTGTTTGGGAAACTTTCATTAGGTGGTGATCCCAGTCCTCTTCATCAGGATGAAGTATTTGAGTGCTAGTGGTGGTTACTGTGGCTCTACAGTGTCCTGCTGGTGCCAGACATGAAATGGTCATGCAAGCCCTGCAAACAGTCCCTGCTTTATAATGCTGTCAGAGACACTGCCTTTATGGAAGCAGATCCATTTTTTTCTCTCCTTTCTTCACACTAAGATTTGTACAAAGACACTCCCAAGAACTCTGTCTATATTGAGAGGGCACCAGGCAAACTTGTGAGCTTGGGCTCTTGAATTTGGAAGATGCAGGCACATGATGTTAATGGCACTGCTTGCTGTGCATGAAATTAATCATGTATGTATGTCTTTTGCAGAGCCAAGTCTATGATGAACTGTCAGCCAGTATAAAACAGAAGAAGGGCAGATTTTACAGTTGCTGTGGATGCCTGATATCAGCTCCTCTGGAAACATTCAAGGATATTTTTGGTTCAAGATTAAGGAGTCACTAGATAAATTATTAACCAACTGAATCCTACTTATTTTATGTATATTAGAAAACTGCACTATTGAAACAATATTCTGCACTCAGGGCTGTCAGTGGATATTCACACATTGCTCTTAATGTGTTGTTTCTTTCCTAAAGCAAAATTAGTTTAGATGTTTTAAACATGAACCCGATTTTGCATCTTCATTTGCAGCATTTTTTTCCCCAATATTGACAGGATGTGAATTTTCTTTCTACAGTGAAGCTGCAGGCCTGGATTCTTGGTCTTTAGCTATGCTACCATACAAAATATGTCATTATATTGGTCTAAAAATTTAATAAAAAAGCCACCCTTGATTTGAGCCTATGCAGACCACTTGCAACAGACCAAATGCTGCCACTGAGTCTCATGCAACATTTTTGGGAATCTGGCTGAGATTATCTGAAGAGTTCTTAATTTCAAATTTGTTTAGTTTATAAAGAAAGAAATGCAAACAGAGAGGAGACAATGCCTTAAAACAGAGAAGAATGCCAGGTTACTCACATAAGAAAAACTTTTGTTCCCTCGTCTCCATTTCCAGCTGGATCTCTGAGCAAAAAATGCCAGTTTAAGAATGGTTGAAATCTTTGCTAAGACTGCCCCCACCCCAGCTTCTGAATGCCTTTTGATAATGCTCCACAGCTTCCTAAATAATGAAGCAAAAGAATTCTCCTGAATGCTCCTGGATGACCTGCACTGCACAAGGGAAGGAATGGCTGATTTTATCATGCAGTGCTTTCCTAGCTCTTATCTTAGAACATGTAATGTCTCATTTTTCCATCTACATATTGTTATGGTGATCCCTGTTTTCCTCCCTCCTTCCCTCCCTCCCTCCCTCCTTCCCTCCATCTCTCACTCCTTTCCTTTCTCCTTCCCTCCCTCCCCCTCTCCAGTGGTCATAAAGTCAAAGGGAGAAGGAACCTTTAAGAAGTGGTGTAATTATTAACTAATTTTGATCTTGGGAAGGAGGGTAACCAGAGTATTTCCTGTTTCCTATAATTAAGGACTCAAGACTTCGTTCTGCCACACACACACACACATTGTTTATTTTTAATGTACTCTCCATGGAATATAATCCACTGCTTTATTTCTATATCTTAGGCCAAATTCGTAATTGGTGTAAACAGCTGCTGCTCAACTGACAAGTCCTAAAATGGGGACAGAGAAAAAATAAGGTTATAAGGTTTCATCTGCTTACAGAAGGAATGCATTTGTCCTATTTGTTCTTTCCCTTCACCTCCCAGTGATCTTGGGGATAAGACCAGTGGAGGCAGGGGAGTCTCTGAACTACTCTGAAGCAGAATGATTTGGTCATACAAACTGAAAAGAACTGGAAAATCTGTGTATCCATGGGGCAGGTCAAGGACACTCAGCTGCAGAAAATAAGATGAACATATGTCCTGCTGGTAAAATTTCCCCACAGACTGTAAGAGCTGGTGCCTGCATAAGAAATCTAAGTCTCTGTAAATATTGGGGTGGAAAAATGAGATCCTATAATTTACAATGGCCTAAATAATTGCATTGTAATATTCCCATGCAAGTCACTGAACGTATGTTGGATCTCAGTATACAGTGAAATGCATGAAGTTTTTATTGCACTTTATGTGATATCTGTGTCTTCCTGTGTGTCTAAATGCAGGATTAGCTGAACCATTTTTTGAACAGTTCATCTTTTTTGATCCCTAGTTGAATTCATTGCTATTGAGAGCTGTCACATCATTGAACACAGAACGCCAACGCCTTCTGTCACAGTTAAGCTGTCATTAATGCAGGTTTGGTACCGGAAATAGTAAAGTGATATGGTTTTAGAAATGGGTGCTGATGACTACCAGTCAGAGGAGGACATGAGCGTGACTGTAAGTTCTCCTTCTACTGCTTCTTCATGTTGTTATCTCCACTTTCCATCACCTAGGGCAGTGAGTTTGTAACAAGGTGTAAATATACTTCCCAGTCATGCTTTCTCAAACAAGAGGCTTGAAGAGTGGTAATACAGAATACCCACTTCTTGGTTTTCCATATGAACACTGCTCAAATATATATATATACATATATATACAAAATATTTCATTTTATTTGACACTAAAATGTTTGTTTGCCCATTGTGTTGCCTGTAAAGTAACACATTTGTGAGGTTTAGTTCCAAGAAGAGTCAGATTTGCTCAGCAGCACAAATCTGTGTGCAGTGTATAAATATTTATCCATTTTAACAGCTCTTTCACAATGATGCTTGTGACTTTGACTGTCACCTGCCCATATTTGCGTAATTTCTCCTTTCAGTCTGTATGTTCATTTTTGCAGCTGAAGTCACTTCTTCTCTTTTACCCCTCAAACACTGAAGTTACTTATCAGCAAAATTAAGCCCTGCCCCATTTAAAGTTAGAACAGAACAATACTGATTTCATAAGAAAGACGAGAAGAACCCTGAAAGCAGCAAAACCAAAGTGAAGCTCAGTAACCGTGACTGAACAGCACAGAATTCTGTTGCATCCTGTCTTTTTGGTTGCAGCATAGGTGATTGAAGTGCATGAATTAGTGCCAACTACAGACTTTTTACTTAATAAATAAAAACAGACAGATCAGAAAACTTTGGCTGCATAACTAGCATTTTTCCACTACATTTGAGGAGATTTAGCTCTGGGTTTCTACTAGGATTTGATAAACAATGGGACAGCCAAGAAGTATGACCTCATTGACATACTGCTGCCCTGGTGATGGGGACATCCAGGGATGCTTCCAGCAGCTGCATCCTTTTAACAGCACAATTCTCAGCAGTATCTGAAATAGAGAAATTTTCAGAGGTGCAATGCAAAGTAATTCACCATTCAGCCATATCCTCAAATCAGAGGACTTGGTTATGTGGACCATTCTGAAAACAAGGAGAAATGCTTCTTCATCCTGCTGCTCATGAAATGCTGAAAGATTAACTTCACAGTTTATGTGGCTCTATTCAAAAATAAAGATATTGATACTTTTTTTTTTTTTTTTCTTTTTTTTTTTTTTTTTTTTTTCCCATAGGTTCTCTTTGTAGACTATTTAACCTGTAGATTTGTGGTGGTCACAGGTTAGAAATTATTGTTCTGGAAAATGTTAGTTGGTTCCTTCCCTTGTCTGCCTACCATCTCAGAAGTCTGACAAGTGTGAGGTACTAAGTAAGAGTATTCAGGGATGCTGAGAGTACCTGCACTGTGAAATCTGTTATTATTCTTCATGTTTTGTAGTGATTTTTGTTGTTAATAGAAAATCTGGTCATTTAAAAAAATGATTTAGAATGGTAAGGAATCCAAATTAGCAGAGGTCTCTTTCCAGTATTGATTTACTCTCTGAGGGTCATTCCGGAACACATTCGTTACAGATACAATCCACAAATTCACAATAACACATCAGTCACCGAGCCTTTTATATTGGGAGATGCAATTGAAACTCTGCAATATAATTCAATAAAATTACTAGCCGTTTTATCTACTCATTTAAACTATAGTCTACTCAGATTCTGCAAGTTGAATTGCTAAGAGATATTCTTATTTTTGAACTTCTGAGTGTTCTTATTTCACATAAAATTGTTTTATTATTGTTACCCCCAGAAAATAAAACAAAATAAAAGGTTGTGGTGAAGTTGGAATAAAATACAATCTTAGATCAAAGTGGAAAGCATTGATGGTGTTGTTAATTTTATATTTGAAAATGTGTGTATTTACACACACGTGTATCCTTTTTCCAGGGGCCAGCAGTTGTGTCTAAGACTACAGTTAGAAAGAAAAGGTTCCAGAAGATCATCTCAGTATATTGTGTCTAGTTCTAGGGAAACCCAGCTTTTCCTTGACTGTACAGGGTTGCTGTATATCTTGCCACTGCTGGGAAGTAACATGTCTGAGGCTCTGCAGACTTTAGTAGATCACTGCAGCTGCCTTGTCCCCATGCTGGCCCTGTGCTGCAGGACCCACAGTGAAAGCCTGGGGGCCATGGGATAATGAGAGTCCCCAGAAACCAAAAGGATGAACTACCCAGGCAGTGGAGGCTGGCACTGGGAACCACCAGGGACTTAATGTGGAGCTACCTCATGGCTGATTTTGGTAGACATAATTCTGTTACGCCACCGAGGGTAGTGTGCAGGTGTCCCCTGAGTCATGGGAGGAATACGGAAAAACTGAGGGGATGTGGAGCATCAATAAAAGCTTTAGAAAGGAAAGCTTGGTGAAATGGGAAGGTAAGGAGCAGCGGTGCTGCTCCTGGGGCATACCACCCCTTCCACGTGTTTCGCAGTCCTTACTTCTGGATAGTAACAGACAGTTTTGCTGCAGAAAAAATACACAGTGTTGCCCTGGCCTTTGTGTCTCTGTATGCAGTTGCCTCCTTTGTGCATAGCCATAACTGCACACACACTCACACATGCACATAGAGCTATACATAGAAATAGGTATTGCTGTCTGTGTCCAGTGCAGCCCATCTCCTAACTGACAGGATCAAGGGATGGTTGCTTTAATCCCACATTAGCTACTCTTTAGTTTACTCTCTATTTATCTTCTCAAGGTGGAGAACATTCAGGTCATGCTATGGACTGTATAGGAAATTTGCATGAGATTTACCTGTACAAAAAATTTGAGCATCCCTCTCTAATATCAGTAAACCTTGATACATAATACACATGCTCATGTAAACCTGTTTCATCCACTCTGGCAATATTTGATCTGGAAAGTAGTACTGTGTTCCCTGAGGGAAATCAGACACCTGCTCTCTGCTAAGGATGAAATTTAAAGGAACAACATTATTTACTGTTAATTCTCTCCGTTTACCAGAGAGTCTTCTTTTTTAGAATTAATGAATAATGGTTGAAATCTGGTCCTGCTATAAAATAACCATGGGGACTATATAAACGTGTTTTGCTTGCATTTTTTATTTTTAGTTTTTATTTTTATTTTTACAAGCAAACTATAAAACATTTTTTCAAGAAGTTTTGTTTTGCTAGCAATAGTTTTCCACTGCAGAGAATAATGAATTACAAGTTCCAAAATGAAATGGAGCCCTGGAGCTCCTTCATCTTTGCCCTTGAAACTTCTGAAAAGTTTGAATCAAGGTCTAAAGGAAAGTTTCCTCCCCCTTCCTTGCAGCTGAGCTTTTGAGAATCACATACACACTTTTCTATTTTTACTTTCTAGCCTGGGCCCATTTCCAATTTTAAAACTGTGGGATTCCTGCACTCCTACATATGTGAGACCCAGACTGAACTCAAAGGATGGGCCAGTTTACCCTCCTTTTCCTCCCAACCAGCTTAGTTTCATAACAGTGCACAATTGAAATTGGAGACCACTTGGGTTTCCTTACTTTGAAAAAGCTCAGAAGAAACATTTACAACTCCTAATGAACGACTGCAGAGAGGAGTTGAAATTAAGTCAGCAGAGATCACGATTTGTTTTGGCTCAGATCCTAATCCAGTTTATAATCCAAGGTCTGGAGTCCCAGTACCAGGTAGGTGTGGATTGTCCTCCCTGTGCTCTCTTAGAGCCATTAAGTGCTTTTGTGTATTTTCTCTGCTCTGTAAAACATCACTGCAGCAGCAAACTCTCTGTTATTTGAGGAAGAAAGATATTGTCAATGCCTCTTGCCTTGCAAAGGATGATGAGCTTGATCTACGAGCTGGTTTGGTGTGGGGGAGGAAGGAGAGGGGAGCTTCCCTCCCC